CTGCAGCGCAGCACAGGAGGGGACAAAAGCAGTATCGGTTAAGAGTATCGGCCGGCTTTTACAAGTACGAGTACTTGATGCTGGTATCGGACCCGATACCGATATGTATCGGGACACCCCTGTTTATTGGAAAACTGAAGCAATGCATTCTGGGTACAACATGGATTTGATTTGTGACGGGAAACGAAAGCACAGAGTACAGGAAACTATCTTCCCTTCAAAATAAGAGCTTGGATTTTAAAGTTTTCCATGTAGTTGCTCCAGTTGACCACTAGATGTCAGTCTTCATCTATCATAACATCTCTACATCATTTCTGCATCTCTAACCCCGTTGCTTCGACCAATTACATCAAGTGTTGAGCTCCAGCGTTTAAACTTTATCTTTTTTTAGAAAAGGAGCTCCAATTGAAAAGTAAACTAAATCAATACATACAAATTTTTAGCATGGATTACAAACGTTAACTGTTTTTACTGGGACAGGGAGTACTAAACGCTGCCTTCCTGCTACGTAAGCAGACACAAAGCATTGTGGGAAATCAGAACTCTGACCCAAAGCAACAGTCAGCAGGATGTATACCTTCACAATAAGAGTGTTTATCTGGGAGGGGTGCTGTTGGATAGATCACATGTGTTGTGATTCATTGACAGTCATACCTTCTGCTGTTCAACATAATGATGACTGGTAGATAATTAGTTATTAGCGGTTCTGCATTTTAAATTTAGAAAGCACAAATCTGCTTATGAATTATAAAAATTAGTAAGACCGCTAACGAAATATTTAGGTCCACAATCAGTGGATTTGCGCCTTGGCAGGCTGGTGCCACCACTGGTCTATTGAATAGGATTTTATGGTTTTGTCAGCCTTTACAAGCATGTTTTACAAGGCAGTTTTGATGTAGAAAAGTTTAAACAAGGTCTGTTTTCCTTTCAGGTGACAACAGTAAAACTAGCCTTTAAAAATGCTGTGAGTTTTATGAGCTTTAAGAACTCTGGGAACTTGATCGTCTGATCCCAAAATAATTGTTGTGCAGGAAATAAGTCTGTTCATGGTTCATCAGTTGAGCCACAACAACACAGCTGCTCTCAGTAAATATCACTATAAAAATGTAACTCATAGGTGAATTTTCTGATGACATGGTGGAGTTAAAAAAGAAAGAAGCTTTACTTGTGTTTCCAGACTGTCTTCATCTCCTCTGTGTAGTAACTCATGTAGCACTGCAGTCTGATACCCTCTGGAGTGCACTGCATCACCAGGTCAGAGGCAGATGCACCTGAGCCAAACACACAAAATCACAGATCCTCTGAGCCTTCAACACACAGCATCTGTTCTTAAAATACATTTCTATTTATTCATTTACTGTTTCATACAAGTGTGTATTGAACCTAAAGCACTGGATTAAACAGTATGATACAGATACATGTATTGTTGCACCCCTAACATACATACATACATACATACATACATACGAGAATAGGATTGTAAAATAGATTCAGAAGTTTTGGAACTAATAATTGTTTTTCTTTTATTTGTTTAAAAAAAATCACCAAAACAACCCCGAATAAATAACTAAAACGCTGTATACTTCAGTTCTACTTTTTTTCCTTTTAAAGGTAAAAGT